AGTTAATATACACATAGAAGAAGAGTTTCGGTGTTTTAAAGTCGAAACAACAAAAATTAATTATTGGATGAGGAGTCCTCCTCTAATATTAGGGCAGGGGTTTCATCTTAATCTAATAGTTAATATTCGCACTGTAAAATACTTTTTTATGCAAAAAATAGCTAGAGATAAAAGCAAGGGATCAGAAATTATCTTTGACTCTTGCTTTATTTGTAAAGAACCTTTTTCATGGAGCCAGTCCATGTACAGGCACAGCCTTTTTTCCAAGTGACCATTGCCATAAACCATTAAAGGTTTCGTGTTTTGGAGTATTGTATATAACACTTTCTACACGGTATATTATTATTATTATTATTATTATTATTATTATTATTATTATTGGGAATAAGTAGATTGTTATTGCAGTGATTAAAACTCTGATAATTATTAAGAGTATAGTGCATCTAGATCAACGTAGCTAAAATTATAGGTGTTTCTACACAATATATTATTGAAAAAGTAATTTTAGTATAATTAATAACTTTAATTAATATTTTATATTTTAAATAATTATAAATAATATATTATTTTTTTACAATAAAAATACATAAAAATCTTCTTGTATAACACAACACTTTCAAACAAAACCATGTTAAATAAAAAAGGTATTATATACTTTGAACTACATTAGATTATATAATTATAATTTTTAAATAAAAAAAACCTTCTCATATTAAAGATATTGAACTTATTAGATAATTTTTATATTATAATTTACTATAATTCAAATGGTAAAATATGGTACTCAAGTAAAATTCCACCACTAACCAAGTGGGTTAAATCTATATATTTAATAATTTTTAATTATAACTAATAATGTGTTGATCCGAGTAAAAGGAATTTAATTTTTTTAAATAAAGTCTCGAGTTTAAGTCTTATAAATAAAAAGACAAACGCTGAAAGAATTTTCCCTAATAACCTCTAACTCAACTCAATTCGGATGAATCAAGACTCAATATAATATAATTTTTAGATATTAAAATATTAATAAAAAAACTTTCAATTATGATTCCTAAGGAAAAGTCCATTAACAACACATTGGTCCACTGACCGAAAAACGGTTTAAAAAGCCGTAAAAAGGCACCAAACGCGCAAGGCACAATTCACTCCGGCTCTATACATGGATCCACCACCAAAATTACCTCTATACCCCCGTCGCAGATTTATAGCCGAAGCATCAAATATGTCTCCTCAAGAAATCAGTGTGTTTACTCTTCTTTCCATTCCGCTCCTAGCTTCTCCGACTTATAATCGCCAACCAAAAAATGGCGACCTCCGTTCCCGACAATCTCAGCCGCGACCAGTACGTCTACCTAGCCAAGCTCGCCGAGCAAGCTGAGCGCTATGAGGAGATGGTACAGTTCATGCAGAAGCTCGTCCTCGGCGCCACTCCTGCCGCCGAGCTCACCGTTGAGGAGCGCAACCTCCTCTCTGTCGCCTACAAGAACGTGATCGGTTCGCTCCGGGCGGCCTGGCGTATCGTCTCCTCGATCGAGCAGAAGGAGGAAGGTCGCAAGAACGAGGAGCACGTGGTTCTTGTAAAGGAGTACAGATCGAAGATAGAGGCGGAGCTTTCGGAGGTGTGCTACAGCATCCTGAAGTTATTGGATTCGAACCTGATCCCGTCAGCCTCTTCGAGCGAGTCGAACGTGTTTTATCTGAAGATGAAGGGGGATTATCATCGGTACTTGGCGGAGTTCAGGATTGGGGATGAGAGGAAGGCTGCTGCTGAAGATACTATGGCGGCTTACAAGGCTGCTCAGGTAGCCTCTATGTTTGTTATTTTGGCTCATATTTTTCATTCAATTATGTTAAAGTCACAAGAGATCATAGATCTTGAAATCAAGTCAGTTTCAGCTAAACTTTGATTCTGGATGATTTGATTTGAGGGCTAGGGTTAAGAAATTTTGATGTTTTCCTCTCGTTCCTCTCTTTTCTTCTGAAATTTGATACTAATTGCGTTGAATTTAACGAAGGATATCGCGACTGCGGATCTTGCACCAACGCACCCAATACGTCTTGGGCTGGCGCTGAATTTCACGGTGTTCTACTACGAGATTCTTAATCAATCTGACAAGGCCTGTAGCATGGCTAAACAGGTTTGTCTCTTCTCACTCGCTATCTTGTAAAACTGTAGTCTAGTTTATTTTTTGTGTATACTTAAGCTGAAGTACGCTAATTTTACTTATCTCTGTCGTCATTTGAGACTGTGGAATAGGATTTTAGAGTTAAATATTTTCTGTTCTGTTCTTATTTCGCCTCAGCTAAAGTTGAATTCTTCTTGGTCCATTGACCCTATAGCCATTGGTCCTAATATTTTCTTCTTTAGGCCTTGTCGCAATATTAGTTGGAGGAGATTAATGCCTTAGAATAATTTTCTAGTTCATGATAATTGATAGGGGTGTTGACTTGGTTGATTTGACCTTTTTCTTTTGGTGTTCTCGGTGGGAGGCAGATTGAAATGGTGTGATTGGAGTAGCTTTAGTGGTATATACTTGCCAGTGGTGAACGGGTTTCTTTTGTGATAAAAAATTGACCTATGGACTAATATTCTTGATTCTTAACCTTGACAGTTGACATTTCTTGTATTTTAGAGGTTGTGGAACTACCTTGGTGTAGTAAATGCCCTGGATAGGGACATGCTTAAATGATACCCTTAATTGAGGGGCATCACAAGAAATCGATCAGCGTTCGGAGTAATGAACCAACTAAAGTCAACATCAGTATGATGGTCTTTTCTAGATGTTGGTTATTAAATGAATTCTCAATTCATCAAACTTTAGAAGTGGAAGTTTAATAGGAAAAACTATTCCCCAAGTAAGTGCATATGGTATGATTTTATTCTTTTTGATACAAATATCTTGTTAACTGCTTTAGTTGGCACAGACTTGATATGGTGGGGAAAGCTTATCTTAGGAGGAGTTGGGATGGATGCTAGTTTTTATGTGGGGAATACTTAATTAATGGCAAGAGGCCAACCATCCTAACTATCTAACTTAAATGCTGATTCTATCAATTGTTTGCTGACACCTTGTGTGCAGAGGCTACACACAGGACTTTGTGCTCAATCTGTTGGCTATTAAATGATCATCTCACTATATATAGTTGAATTTGTGGCTTGTAGTCAAGTACTTGATGGCTCATTAGTCTTGCATATTGCTTTTTGATGTGTCATTTCGTTAATTTGCTCTGTTGTTAATGTTATTATTTTCCTAAAGTGTTTTGAGGAAGCCATTGCCGAACTTGACACTTTGGGAGAAGAATCTTACAAGGATAGCACCCTCATCATGCAACTCCTTAGAGATAACCTCACTCTTTGGACTTCAGATGCTCAGGTTAGTGAAAGCTCTCTTTGTCACTCTTTTAAAAAAATCTCTGGTAACAAAAACCTTAATTATCACAACCCATTTTATGGGCCCTCTCATAACTCTCCATAATGTTGATTGTGATATTGTAATGCAGGACCAGTTAGATGAGCCATAGAAGATCTCGTAATGTGGTTGGTCCTATTCTTCTTCTAGAGGAGGTGGGCTTTGAATGTCATTTGCGTGTGATTCTGTGTGTAAACTAAAATGGCCATCAACCATTGGCATCTTGTTTCAATTTTCAGACTAATCTTGTTTTTTAATTCCACAAGTGATTAAGATAGCTTTTGATAGCTGTGTACCGACTTTCCAATATCCAATATGCAAGGCAGTGTTAGTTTCGGTTTTCTGTGTTGTCTCTTCATAGAGAAAAACAGAGTTCAAATGCATTACAATCTGTATAAAGTGTTTTGTCAATTGTCCTCTACTCTCCTTAAAACAATTATTTTTTATTTTGGTTTAACGTTCTTCCCTACTTATCATAACCAAAGAACTTTCGAATGATTGGATTACTGTTTTTATGTTCATTTCTATCTCGACTAATACAGTATGAGCGGATGTTGAACAGTTGAAGGAGTTCAAGCCAAATTATTCAGCCAAATAAAGGGAGTCAAATCATGACATTTCCTCCTTAGACTCAATTATCATCAAGTCCTCTATTATTAGCATCTCAAGTGAAAAATAACCAAAAACAGAAAATACAAGAGTAGGGAGCCTAATTTTCCCAAGCCTTCTGAAATTGGTATTTATCAACTGGCTGCCGGCCTCTTTTCAAGGTTTTAGGACCAGTTTGGGTTGGGAGAAATTTTTCTTTGAAAAAGCTTCGTGGACAAATTATTGTTAGAGTTGGCAACTTTTGTAAAGAACTTCTGTTTGGGAAAAAACTTGTCAAATGGATTTCATAGCGAAGGGGGAACATACCAATTTTATTCTTTATTTTTTTTAGTAGTGAGGTGAGTACATGCCAAAAACACCTTGGACTTTATCAAGTAAGAAAAAAAATGCTTTTTCCATGCCAAAAATACAGCTAATAAATAATCCAATTTTGTTGCAAATCTAAAATATATTGTAGATGATAAGGATCCACGTAGTTCGGTTCAAAATCGAGAAATTGAATAAGTGAACTGATATTTTTTTTTTTTTGGTTAAATAGTTATTCAATTTTTTATTTTTAATTGAAAACACGCGGAATTAGAATTTTTGTTCGGCTATAGTTTTTTTTTTTTTTTTTTTAATTTTAAAACGACATAAATTAGCACCACCTAATAGAGAATTAGTAATCAGACTTTAGCAGAATCTGTGTTGACAATGTGCAGCTTGCAACGTGATGTTTCACGAACCAAATCCATGCCAAACTAACGTGCAAAATTGGAAGGAGGAATATATATATAAAAAAACAAAATTCAGGAAGAAAAAATACAAGAAAAAAAGAAAAGAAAAGAAACAATATTCGAAGGAATGAGAAACTCGCAATATCAGACAGCCTGTCAGCGCGGCCCAGTCCCTAGTCAAAAAGTCCTGATACATTGTACTTGCATTCTATATTTTATTGATGAGACATTTCTTCGTCGGCATATCTGCCAAACCTTATCATTTAGGCATTTCAAGTGCGTGACGTAACAGTTATTTGCTGTGTTTTAAGGTAGGTTGTGGTTTGGGTCTTTTGTTTTGGGTTTAATATCATTTTTATATATTAACGCATCTAATACACTAATACTTTTAATTGTTGTCCTTCTAAAAGAAAACCTTATCATTTAGGACCATAATTTTTTTACTGTACAATATTGCATAAACCCACGCAATGCTGCCTTAA